AAAAAATTGATAACATAGCAAAGTTACCACAAAGTGTACGTTACATCCCACATAGGAAAGGGAGGGATAAAGGAGATTGAATGGGGTGGGGAGGGGCAAAAGTCCAAAGTGGATAAAAGCACACTTTAGATGTTGCTGACTATAATTTTTTATTGCATTCAAAATGCACAGAAATATAAAACAAAGCAATGGTTGTCATGTTGAAGGGTCCAGCTTCTTAAGAGGTGTCAAATTTTTGTACCTCAGCTGGATACATGTGTGTTGGAAGCCAGGGCGTGAGAAAAGCGCCAAACCCAGCAGACTTTGGCACATTTGTCCTTTACCGCTGGCACAGATGAGCCATGCTGTGAGGCTGCAGAGCATTGATAGGCCCCTGGTGTTTTAAAATTATGAGTTTATACATGAGCTGAACCATCAAGACTACCCCCTGGACAGACAGTAAACATGACGACAAGTGCTTTTTCCACACAGTGCACCTCTGTGCTAAAGAGCAGTTAGGCACCAAGATGGTGTGAGAGCTAATAGTATAAATTTTCTGGTTTGAATAAATAAGATTATAACTGAATTATCAGCTGAAGTGCCAGGTTTTGGGGAATTTGTCCAGGCTGCATTAGACACAGAGCTGAGAGCTGCTACTTAAATTAACTTGACACCAGTAAGGAAATTACAAACACAGTCATGTCAGTCTATGGAAGCACCTCACACAAAGGTCCACAAAGAGGTCTCAGTTCTGATAAAACCCACTACTTTCTAATATGGTATTTAATTGAAAATTGAGCTTGAGCCTTGCCAATAATTGCAATAAAATGCTGAAAACACTGTGCTGTTGGCATGTTCCTTGATCTGCTACTTACACCTACAAGTTTTGATTGTCTCCTTCACATTCATCAGGTGCAGTTAATGCTGACACTCCTGATTGCTGACCCCTTGTTTGTGAGCTCAGAGCCTAGGCATTCATGAAAGAGAGGAAGCGGTTGAGGGGTATGGCAGTGTTATAGCCAACAGTCTGTTTAGAAGTCTTTGGTTCTTCCTATACTGGTCCAGTACCAGTGTTCTGCCATGTGGACAGAAAAACTAAGCAGAGGCAGGTCTGTTGAGAATTTCTGCCAAGTTAAGCACGAAAATATTTCTTTCCTGTTAACTCAAGTCTGGCAGTCACCTGTGTGAGGTTGTCCTCTCTTTTTAGTCATGAGCCACCGGCCATTCAGTTCGGTCATCAGGCTACCTGGTAATGAACAATGAAGTCAAATATGTGGTTTCTGACATCTTACAGATGGGACGATTATTTTGATCCTTATTGTCTTCTAACTAAGAACATTTTCACTTTGCAGGTTATATTATCTGAAAAAATACATTCCATTAGTTGTTGAAATTTGAAGTTGCAGTGAGTTTCTGATGGCCCTGTCATGGGGGAGCCAGGTCTGTACTTGGGGATAGTGGATATACTGTACTTCTGTTTGGTGACTGTGTTAGCTCAGTAGCTCCTTTAGCCAGCATTAACTTTTTTTGCATTCTAAGTTGATTTGGAGAATTGTTAGCAAACATTCAGCAGATACAGAGAACATTTTGCCTTTATTTGGAGTCATGTTTCTGACCATTTCATGAGAGAACGTCTGGTATTCATCTTCCTGAAGCTCCTGAGGGACTGAAGCTGGATCATTAGCTGTAAAATGCACCTCCCTGTTCACAAGCTAATCACTAATCTCAGTTGGTCCTGAGCAGTGTTTAATGATCCTTTAGAGCTGTTTTACTCAAAGCAAGAAAGTGACTATATGAAAGTCATGAGATTCAGCCAAACCACTAAAATTATGGGGCATAAAACCAAAGCAGTGGCCTAAAGGACACTACAACGCTCTTTAGACCTGAGTGGATAAAATATCTACAGCAGTGAATCTCCTCTGTAGTGAATCTCACAGCTGCTGCAGAAGAGGCCTTTTCAGTGGCTCTAACAGATCAAATTTGTGTTTATCCTTTTATGTCACTGCATTATCTTTTAAGGAAATAGATGACCAACATTGTTTTCCAACAAATAATTCAACATGGCATCCAATGAGTACCTCACTGTGGACTTAATAGATATTTTTCATTTGCTGCAGAAAGGTTCACACACAGTAATGTTTGCCTTAAGTTCAGTGAGGGCATGAGCAAATTTGTCTCTGTGTTCAATGGCCAAATAAAACGGTAAAAGCTCAAATTATAATAGTAATGCAAATATATGGAGGAGTAATTATGATACAAACAGGAAGGTGGCCAAATGGACTTCAACAAGGACCAGAAAGGCAGTCTCATTTTTCCTTCTGACAGAAATGTCTACAGCTAAGTGTGTGTCCTTTAAGTAGAGTTTGGATTGTCAACAACTGAAAATACTGTGTGAGCACTGCTATATGACGGTTCCTAGGCCAGGACACACAAATCACAGCTCCTGTGAAACACACTGCTACTGCTACTTGCATCCTACCCTTCTTTTTACACAGGAAACTGCCCAGGACTTGACCTTAATTAGTTTGACAGTGAGTAATAACATCCTCTGACAATTAGAGATTGTCGTAATAGATTAGTGCTGCGAACTGACCTTTTTAGTATTGTATGGTACAACACAAAATGCTCTGTTAAATTTAATATGTGAATTTTATAAAACAAACTTTTAGAAAAAAAACAAAATATGCATCTCACTGTTTGGTTAATATGTAAATCTGGACCAAGCATGATTTGTATGACCATGGAGTGACAAATCTTTGGTCATATACTGTGCTGGAACTTGGTAACTTCAATTTTCAAAAGACTCTGTTTAGTTGTGTCAGTGGAATTGGATCAGACTTTCTCCGTTTGGTAAAGACTGGCTTTTCCTAAGCTACATCTGTGGTTGCCTTAATTGCAATTTAGAAATACTTAAAATCCAAGATAAACTCAACCAAGGAGTCTGTGTTCCACATTTTTGTGATGAGAAATCCACTTTTTAGAGCATGGATGTTTGTCTTCATTTGAGATGTTTGCTCTTTTCCAAGCACTATAAAACTTCTGTTAAATAAAACGTTGTCCAAGTGCCTTCACACAGGCCTTTATATTCCCATAAACTGCTTTTTGTCTTGCTCCCACCAGTTGTTTCATATTTTATCTAGATATATTTAACAATCATCTGTCAAGACTTGTTGACTGACTGGTTGACCTCACATGGAGCAATTCTATTTTAAATGAGTTTATTCTGAAAATGTGAATGTTGATGATTAAAGAGCAGGTTTTGATCATTTTTTCAGAGGCCATGACTGTTATGCTTAAAGAGGAACTCTTTATGATTCTTGGCCTGAGCCTTATTTTCTGTATAAATTACATACAAAGAAAGCTTAAGAGGTGTTTCTCAAGGGCTCAACTTTATTTTTTATTTTTTTGCTTAAACTCTATTGGCAAATCCACTATGGAAAAGCTGAACTGTACTTCAAGTACTGTATTTTAGTGTGGTTTGAAGCTGAGGTAGGGATCAATTGCTTGGTTTCAGCAGCAGCATCCCAGAAACCCCTAGAGAAGCAGGTCTGATGGGCAGGCGGGGAGCCACTCAATGCCACCTCAAACCACTGTCCCCACAGCAGGAAGGGGTGCTCACCGCAGAGTTGGAGACCAGCAGGGTTAGAAACTCAAGACAGGCAGGCAGGAGGTGATCAGATGCTGCCAAGGATGTGTGGCAGAGGGTGCACTAGAAGTTATCTTCATTACTGAGAAATCTGTCAATGATTTTTTTCAAGTAATAGTTCAGTTTATAAGAAGCAGGTAAATATTAGAAGAGAAGGAAGAAAGTGATTGTGTCACTTTTTTCACAGCCTCCAAAATAATCACACAGCTGAATCAACACCTCTTGTGAAACATTTTGAACACAAACTGAACATTATCACCTTTGTGAAGGAGGATTTATTGGATTAGACTGACTTAGTTATAGAAAGAGGTACCTAACAAACAGGCAGTTGAGTGTACTATGTGCTCTTAACACAGCGCAGCACAAAATGTGCACACAACAGGCTGCAGCATTGACAGTCAAACTGGGAATATATTAGCCATGATGGGATAGGAAATGGAAGAAGAGGTGGAAGAAGAAATGATTGTGAGCATATGGATTGCTGCACAGCCACAAGTGACTAATAGTTTCTGACTCAAGGTCACAGAGCACAGTTAAAAGACTAAAATAGGTTTTAAAAGACCACAAATAAACTCAAAATGACCACAGAAGAAATTAAAAACAACCAAAAAAACACAAAACATGACCATAAAAAGACAAAGTGACTGCAAACAGCTAACAAAAGGAAACACAACTATCAGAAAGATTTGCAAAACTATCATTAAAAAAAGCACAACAGAGACACACAAAACAACTGATGGCATTATCTGGGGCTTTGCGCTTATGTCACTAAACCTGGTTCTTACTGAGCCACTGGGTTTTTAAACATTTTAGATCTAACATTGCTGATGACAACAAACAAGAGAAATGATTTGAGTTTTGTCAGTGACTTTTAAAACTTAAAACTTTCCAAGAGCCTTTTTTAGAAAACCAAATTCAGTGCTTTATAGGACCTTTCAAGAAATGCAGATACCCTGATAATATGGCTGATGCTGCCCTCTTGTGTTACAGAGGCAGGTTTCATATCAATCGACAAACATGTTTTAGCTCCAGATTCCCTATAGGAGGTTAATCCGGCAATGGCCATGGTTATTATTATGTGCTTACCCTTATTAATTACATAGGATTGGAATGAATACCTACATAGAATGAAATTGCAGGAGGCAATATTTTGCCGCCATTAATATTGCTTTCTCGTCATTTAATGCGACTCTAATTAATTGTTTAGATTAAATTTTGTCTGCTTATTAAACATAATAATGTCAGTCACGTTACTTAAGTGAAACAATCGTATGTAACTATCGTCGACGGGGTTTATGTAAAACCGTTACAGCCTGTGGTTTCTTTGTGGCTGCAGCTGCGCCTGTGCCTTTGATAGCCAGCCAATCAAAGTGTAGCTTACTGGGGTGTTTCACCCAATAGCGGCGCTGTGTTGAGCCTTGTTGCGACAGCGGACAGACAAGCGAGTGGACCGGTTTGAAGCTAAGCTAATTCAGTGATATTACATCTAGTTAATTTTGACTTTTTGCATAGGTTCATGTTGACGCACACGCGTGGATCTGTTTAGGAAAAATCGAAGCTACATGTAAAGATTTTAGCTATTAGGCTAACAAACAGTACTGGGCATTTATTTTGGTAAACCGCTTCTGTCTTGCTAGCTGGATTGGCAGCGGGTAGGCGCCAGTCGTGTTGTGACAACAGCGCTATTCTGTCACGTTCCCAGTGTTGTTGTTTGTAGCTGTTAACTGAACGAGCTAATTTCCGTTTGCTGAAGCGGCTAATAAGGAAACCTCACACCAGTTTAAAAAAAAGCTAAGTTAAGCATGGCAGAATTTCTCGAAGATCCGTCGGTTCTGACCAAAGATAAGCTGAAGAATGAGCTCACAGCAAACAATGTGCCACTTCCCAGCGGAGAGCATAAAAAAGAAGTGTATGTGCAGCTGTATCTGAAGAACCTAACCATACTGAACAACAAGAAGAGTCCACCTGCAGATACCTTCTCCAGCGACGAAGAGTTGCCTACCCCCGTGGTGTCCAACAAAAGTCGATCTGGAAGAGTAAGTTTTTGTCAGAATATACCTTAATTGGTTTTGATTTGCGGGAAACTGTTATGTGAGGCTATGTATCTCTGTTGTGGATTGATGCGTGATTTGTGACTTGTATGATATGGAACTTGTATTTTTCTGCAGAAAGCTACCAAAAAGACAGACAAGCCTCGCACAGAGGGGGTGGAGGTGACAGATCTCACTGATGAGGATTTGAAACAGCAACTGGCAAAGTATGGTGTGGACTCGGGACCCATTGTTGGTGAGTTCCTGGGGACTAGTCTCAAAGTTTTCACGTCAACATATACAATTTGATTATTCAGTTGGAGAGTAACCCTTAGAAATCTATGTATTGGTCTTGTTAATTGATTTACCCCTTATGAAACCAAAGTTACAAAGCAATTAGCATGTTTTAATTTTTCCTTAGAAAAAGGCCTTAGACAGTATTAACAAGTCTTAAATTTGATTTACTCTGAAATAGCTTAGCCCCAGTTACAGACTTACCACTTTTTGTAAAAATTCATATATTAAGCTTTAGTTTTTTATATTGCTAATCCTCTCATCAATTTTTTGTATCTTATCCGGGTCCAGTTTGTGTCTGGGAAAGGTTATATAAGTTGTAACACTGGGAAGTACTTAAAATGTGATTGTATGTATCAAAATGCACTAATGTACTTGAGAAACAGGCCTTATTATCCCTACTGTCATGGTTTTTTCTTTCCCCAGTAGCATCCATGTGGTATTAAACAGGCCTTAAAAATCTTAAATTTCATGAATCCTGCAGAAACCCAATATTTTGTATGTAAAGATTAGAAAATGCCCCAGTTTTTAATGTCTGTCCATCCATTAGCTATACCGCTTATCCTGTAGAGGAATGGGACAATTTTTAGTAAAAAAAAAAAAAAAATCAACTTGTCAATAATGTGAGAAGTCTAAAATCCATTACTTAAATTCAGTATTTTTTTTATGAACTGGAACCAGTGTCTGTCCAAGTAGGACATTTTATAATTAAAAAAATGAACTTCAGAACTATCTTTCGATATGTCTGGACTGCAAGTTCTTGTCCCCTGTTGGCCTGCATATATGTAAATACGGATAAAGTGGTTAAAAAAAAAAAGTATTAACCGGCATTTCACCCTGGCTCGAGTTTCAGTATTCAAATAAACTGGTGAAATGACAAAAATGTAATGTAATTGTTTATCAAAGCAGCGCTTCAGATTTGTGTGTATGTAGTATAGATCCTCCTAGCTTGAAAGTACACTGTGTTAAATTTATTTGACTCTCTCTCATCCCTTTGTCCTCTCATTAAGCCTCTACCCGTAAGTTGTATGAGAAGAAGCTGCAGAAGCTTTTGGATGAGCTTCACACTGAGCCTGAAGCCCCTGCAAATGTCACAGCACTCCCCAAGGCAGAAAGTAACCAGAATGGCAACACAAACTCTGACCAGTACAGTGATAAGGAAGATGGTGAGCTGTGACCACACCTTATTTGTCATCTTTATAAATTTCACGTACCTTGCAAAGGACATAACAGGGATTAATGTGTCAGTATGTCATAACACATGCTTGGATTTATTCAGTAAAATTTCCCAGATAAATCAGTAAACATGTTTTTTGGTTAAATATAGGATAATTGCTAATTAGTATGTTTATATTACCTGTGTATATTCAGAAGAGATTACGACCCCTGTACCAGAGCCAGTTCCAGTGGCAGAGAAGCCTCTGAGGAGCAGAGGGAAAATTCCTGTTACCGTCAGGACCAGCAGCAGACGACAAACCAAGGTGAGGCACATTTTGACATTCCCTGGCTTGGTAATAGATTTTTCCAGCTTGTTTAAATAGTTTTTTTTGTTGTTGTTGTTGTTGTTGTTGTTGTTGTTTGTTTGTTTGTTTTTTATTACACTTGACAGGTGGTCGAGGAAATTATTACTGAGGAGACCCCAAAGAAAGCCAGCGAAAGTGTTGTTGAAGATATCCTTGCCAATGAAATAAACACACCAACAGGCATCAGGTGAATGATTGATGGTGATTTTTATGACTGGCTTTTGTTTGCCAATGTGTTGAGATGCTCACACACAGTTAAGCACAAGAATTGCCCTCTGTAAGATATGTTTAACTTTATTTTGAAAAGCAGAACCAAAATGGTAGTCTGGAAGTTGATCTTGGAAATAGTGATTTGATTTTAGAAGAAATTCTAATTCATGGTTAACTTCTCTTAGTCTGCTCTTCATCCAAAGTTTTCAGACACATTTCAGACTTATTGAGTAGATGGGGTTTGTCTGCCGCCATGTCCAATGCCAAAGGGTAACCTCAACAGAGACGAGGCCACAACTTTACCCCGTGTACCTTAGGGATGGCCTTTGGTATCAGATATGACAGCTGTTTCCATACAAACCGAGCAAACTAAGCTTGGGAAAAACCTAGTGCACTGGACCTCGAGTTAATAGGTTTTTGCCAGTTAGCTTTAAACTGTAATGTTATTGTTCTTGTGATCAGTGCAACCTGTAGGCGTCCGATCCGAGGGGCAGCTGGTCGACCTGTAAAACCAACTGAGTACTGGCTGGATGAGTCCCGTCTGCAGCACAGCATCCACACACAGAGCCGCTCCTACTCTGAGTCTTTCTCCCGACCGGGCAGCACTCCTTTAAACAAAGCACCAGCGCAGCGAGGCTTCCTGTCTGTGTTGCTCAAGCTACTCCTCCTTGCTGTGGTGGGTGGTTTACTCTACTATGTCTACTGGAACCTGGATGCTGATCAGATCAGCACCCTCAAAGGCCTCCTGGACAGCATCATCGTGCCACTCCGGGGTGTTGTGGACAACGCAGCCACCTATCTGGGCATCAGCAGCAACGGCAACAGCAGCAGTGCTACACAGAGTGCTGGCAAGTAAACACTCTCAGCAGTCCTTCGCCATGCCCACATCGCCTTCCTGCCGCCTGCTACAGCACACCACAACTCAAGCTGCAAGCTTGCCTCACTTCTTCTCTTCTCCTATATGCTTGGACAGTGGACACAGATTTAATTGGAACAGACTTTCTCCTCTCCAGACTGCAGCTTTCCTCCCACCACAAGAGGGAGGTGTAAGTCAAACAGTAGCTTCTGGATAACACTGTTTTGTGGCAGTCAGAAGAAACTGATCTTAATGTTTTTAATCTGTGAATTGTTTGTGTCTTTGTGTGTATTTAACCGTTGTCTTTAGAAACAAGTGCAGAATGGAGAGGCCAGTTTATCCATGCATGGTTCTAGTTTTTGAAGGCCACGCTGTAGTTTCTAACGCTCTGTGCCAGGTGTTTTTCTGACGGTGACGTGCCTGGACACAGTTAGCACTTAGTGCCCTCCCATTGTCAAGCACAAAGCAGTGCTACTACTAATACCCGAATGTCTATATGTGTTTCTGTATGAATTTTATCATTTGCTCCATAGCTATAGATTTAGGTAGTGACTCATTATTTCTACAGTGCTCAGGTCAGTTCAAGTGTTTAACGTGGTCTGTGCTGGGAGGAGACGCATCGTGTAATCAGGTCACATCACTGCATGAGGAAAAGTACAAGTAAAAACAAAACTTTTTTTTTTCTCGGTGGCTGATCACTTCTTGAATCATCATATTTAGGATTCTATGATTATGACTAACAAGATAATTTTGTTTATTCTGTATTGTAATCATGATTTCTTTTTTGTTTGTTTGTTTTTTACGGTCTGTGGATTGGTAGTTTTACTGTACATTTGAAATTGTGTATCAATAGCCTGAGCTCATCAATTTACAAACTGAAAATTCTAAAACAGCCTTTGAGATGATTAAATATCATTCATTTGACAAGTACACCTGAAAAGTAAAAAAAAAAATGCAGCTTTCAGTCATAGATTATTGGCTTTCCAGCCCTGCCAGAGTGCTCGTATGAGTTTACATGCTTTGGGTTTTAGTGCTCTGTTGTGCTTTCTCTTATGTTCACTGTCTTTATTCAGTTCTGATCCTTCAGTCCTAAATGCAGGACTGGCTGTTGCAGTGCACCCACATAGCCCAGCTCACTACCTGCATGTGTCCAGACATGGCATATCCACAAAGAAGACATGGAAAAACTTCATCCTTTTGGGACAATTTATCAATTTGTTCTCTTCAGAAGTCTTGACTACTTCTACCTGTGCAAATTACAACAATGAAGGCCATGGATTTACTATGAAAGGGGTTGTTTACCCACTGGGGATGAAGTTGGGGGGTGGGAAGGTTTCTGGGGTATGTTTGTTTCTACTTTGATATTTTTCTATAGTGGCTTGTTCAAGTTTTTTATAGTGCATTTCAAGATGACATTTGAAAGCAATATGTAATCCACGCAAGTGATACTGTATCTTAATCTGAACCTTTCTGACTTAACACAAGTGATTCATCATCAGGCAGCTCTCCCACAGTCAACAGAAATGATGGGTTATGTGGGTAAGGATTTTTAATCTGTTTATTTATGATTATGTAGACAATGTGTGATAAAATAAACATGGCTGTTAATTTTCCCCCCTTTAGTCTTCTGTAGATCTATCTGGACATCATTTAAGGGCAATTGTATGCATTCATTTTGTACTAATTTATCACATCCATACTGTACTTTTGGGATTTCTGAAAGCATTTTTAAAATGACCACAGTGAGTTGGTAAGTAGGAATGTTTTAAAATGATAGCAGACATGATGTTTATTGTGGGGGCAAGGCAAGCAAGTGTGAAATTGAGAAGGTGAGCACACATCCTTAAAGTAGTATGTTATAGTAATACCTATAAGATCAGTGTGTAGGTCCTAGATGAGTTTCACAAATGTAGTTGTTAAAGGCTAATACATTGTGGTGTGCTTCAGTATTCGAGTAACCATTATTTGTGAAATATATTCTCAGTAATCTGACATAGAAATCATTGTTTAAAGACATGCTATTAGACACAAGGTTAATGTTCATCTGTAGCGCACGTGTAGTATATGGAAAGCAGTGTTAAGGAATTACAGCAACTCCTTTAACAGGCTGCAGGCATCAAAGGGTGGCGGGGGGGGGCCTCTGCGCAGCTCTCCCGTTCAGCCCCAAATCACATGGGCTCTGTGCTGCCGCTGCAAGCTGACCGGATCTCTGCCTCAACTGTCGGAGCTGCACAAACAGTGATAGTGGGAGGTGTGGTGTGTGCAAGGGGATACGCAGCTCTGTGGGAAGACTCTTTAGGTATCCACTCAGTTTGCCATGTTGATTATATGGTGGTATTTATACCTCACAGCTCGGAGCATCATCGAACAATGCAAGTATTGCTGCTATTTTTGTATCTGGCTGTGTGTCTTTTCAAGGTGAACTCCTGCAGAAGGATAATGTGTGGGACAGAGCTCAGTCAGTGTGGGGTTTTCTTTCTTGTAAAGGATCTAGATGTCAGAAAGGTCCTGCTTCTATTAGTGCTACTTAGACAAATGTCAGGCTTAATTTGTCATCTCTTTGCTCTGACAGCAATATGCTATGTCATGAATGCAGTATTGCTCATCAAACGCAACATGCACTGTATGCCTGACCAGGAACACCTTTCTCTTGTTTTCTTCCCTTGTTCCTTACACTGACACTTTCAGCATTTAAAATGGCCTCAGTCCTGCAGAAGCTGATCACCCCGCTGCTCAGTGGTCCTCCTGAACCCTCAAGGAATAAAGTGACAGTGGTGGGTGTGGGCCAGGTTGGCATGGCCTGTGCTGTCAGCATCCTGCTCAGAGTAAGACCCCCGCCTGCCTTTGCCTCTGCTCAGATTATCTCACTGCCTGTTGCTGTCACAGGGCCGGGTAATACTGATTACTGATTTCCTGGTGACTGATTTGGGTGTTATCCCCCTACTGTCCTTGTTAGTGCATGATGGCAATGACAGAAGAATGTACGTATTTGTCACCATGAGGGAAAACCTACAGTGACTTTCTACTAAAGCAGTTCAACCTGGTTCTTTTCAGATGAAACTGGGCAGCAGCTTCCTGACTGTACACTAGTAACAGCAGCACGCCTACCTTTATAATTGTTTCCACAGTGGAAATCCCTTTACATACATTTTAACATCGGCTATGTAATGTATGGAAAGCAAGTACTTAAGTACAGGAGTAAGTAAGCAGATTTTGAATTGATTTGATTTATGACCAGTTATAAGTACATCTTGTCTGATCTGAAATGTGTCTTTACGAGACTGAGCCATCCACTCTTACATTTCATTCAGGCTGTTG